GGATGACATCTAAAGTCGCTTGAAGGCTCCGGGGAAACTCGTCGGAGTTGCAGAAGAACACATTGTCTGCCATCACATCAAGATCCAAAGTGTGCCTGAGGGAATCGTGAAACACAAGGCAACGACCCGAGATGTCTGACAGCTTGACGAGATCACCGGCCACTGAATCCATTTGTAAAAGTAAGCGAGGATGATCACTGGTCTCCGAGAAATATTGGAGTGGAGAGGAGAGGAGAGGGGATTCGAAAAGAAAAGACAAGAGGAGAGAAGAGCAGAGAAGAGCAAGAGGCGCCGAGGGGATGGAATAGCTTGAAGCTAATGAAGAGAGGCAGGGGAGCGGGTGATGGGGAGGTGAGAGAGGAGAAAAGAGGTGAAGAAGGGAGAGGAGAGGCAGGAGGAGCTGAAGCACCGAAGCAACGCTTGCTTCTGCGACGAAAAATCTGTTGATGGGACGAAGACTCAGAAAGTCTAAAAGGCCAACAAACAGTAGGAGAGAAAGAGAAGTGAAGGGAGAAGGAGGAGTGATGCCGGAGGAGGAGGAAGTGATTCCGGAGGAGGAGGAAGAAGGGACGGGAATGGGTATGCGAAATGAGCAGGAATAAGATGAGGGAGAATAGAGGGTTGAGAATATGGCAAAGGAGCAAATTTAAGAGATTCAAAGGATGAAGATATCAAGGAAATGAAGAGGAAGCAGCGAGTAGGATGGAGAAAAGATGGAAAAGGAGAAAGTAGAGAAGATGGAAAAGGAGAAAGTAGAGAAAATAGAAGAGAAGAGAGTCTACCTCCTGCGTACTGGACTGTTGGCATCATCATAGATGACGTAGTTGTATTCCTTCCCCGCCGCTACTTCCAGTCGAACCTTGAAGATAAACCTCAGAGAATGAAGATCCTATCCCGAAACCAACAATTCCAATCTCCAATGTCTTGCTCCGCCTCCTCCTTGTAACATCCTCCTCCTCCTCTCCCACCCATCTCTCTTTGTGACCTCCTACTGTCTTTGCTTATCCTTTTCACAGCATGTCTCCTCCTCCTCTTCTTCTTCCTCCTCCTCCTCCTCCTCCTCACCCCTGAAGGACAGTCCTTGGTGTTGCAAACGGGCTCAACCACTTTCAGTCCCCCAATCTGCATTAAGAATCAGAAATGATTTATCCTCCCCGTCCTCTGCTCTTCTCTTTATTCATCCCCTTCCCTTTCCCTCCCCAACCCTGCCTACTTGATCTGCAAGATCTGATGGAACTGTGAAGCTGCCGAAGGAACTAGGAGCAAATTTAGATGACGAAGGTCAGCGGAGGGAGGAGGAAGGAGAGGAGGAAAGAGGAAGGAGGAAGGAGGGAGGAGAGAATAGACCATTGGAAGGAAGGAAAGGTGACGGATGAGGTCGAGGAGGAGGAAGCAAAAGGGAGGAGAGGAGTGCTGAGGGAGGAGGGAGGGGAGTACATTGAAGATCGGTCGATAATTGAGAGTCCCAGCGACATGTCCTTGGTCCACCATGACCTGAAACTCTCATCACGCAAGGAGAACGTCTTTCTCCTTGTCCTCTACTTCAGTCTCGGGTCATCGTTGATGCAATTGTTTCCCCCATTGGCCAGCTTGCCTGAGCCACCGTCAATATCTTTACTTCCTCTTCCTCTTCCTCGTCCCTGCCCCCGAGCTCAAGATCCTTATCCTCCACCCTACTCGTCCTATCTTCGTACTTTTTCTGCTTCTTCCTCTACTTCACGGTATGCCCTCCCATGCTTTCTATCTCGTCTCCCTCCCTTAACCCTCCTCTCCTCCTCCTCTCTCATTCATCCTTACATTTATCGGGCTCGGCAAAGGAGGATGAAGGAAAATAACTCGTCACCCATTGTCTTGTGTACTGGTGGACTACGGTATCCGATGCTGATCACAAGGAAGTCATGTTGTTGCACGAAGGACAAGGTAGAGGTGAAGCATGCGATAATATACAAGGGAGAATGAAGGTGAAGGAGAGGAAGTAGGAGTGAAGGAAGGTCGATGCCGCTGGGAAGGAGATTCAAGAGGAGGAGGGTGATGAAGACGACGGGGAACAGGAGGAGGAGGAGGAGCACAGTGCAAGAGCAGGGCGTCGTCTTCATCTAACTCACCGCAGGCAAGCGATTGATCCACATTGTTGGTACTGACGGACGAGCAGCTGACGGGACTTTTCACTACAGTCCTGTTCTCGATCCACTGCAGTACCTGACCTTGCATTAGTTTCTCCATGAAATTCCTCTCACACTTCTTCCATTCTCCTCCTCCCTCCTCCCTCTTCCCTCCTCCCTCCTCCCTTGCTGTTCTCCTTCCATTTCCCCCTCCTCATCCTCCTCCCTGTTCTCTCTGCTCCTTACTTCGATCGAGGATTCCAATCTGATTCCTGTTGTTGATGCAGCCGGTACACTCTGCAGCCCAATCACCCACGTTCCCATCTTCATCTGCCCTGTTCTGAGATGATGTGCCGATCAGCTCGAAAGAACGACAACCGAGGTGGAACAGGCAGGCAGGAAGGCAGGAAAGCAGAGAACGAGAGGGAAAGAGAGAGACTCGGGGGACAACGGGGACAACAGGAGGACAGAGTGAGGCAGGTCATCATTACATGGGACAGATTCCGTGCACCAGTTTCCCTTCGTAGGTAGCGTCAGGGACGCATCGAATCTCGTTGACGTTGTCCTTGATTATGTTCTTCTTCCTCAGCGAAATCAGATCTCGAAATCTGCGCAAGTTCAGGTCAGCAACTTCCAAGCACCCCTGCGCTGCATACTCATTCCATCCTCCAAACCCGACGGCAGCCAGCCCCACACACAATCCTAAGACCCCCAGCAGAAGTCTGTTGAACTTCGATCTTCTCTCTAACTTCGCCCTCCTGTCCCTCTCGGCGATGCTTTCATCGCCCTTGTTCTTCTCCTCTTCTTCCTTCGATCTCGCCTCGGAGCCCCCCGTCGAAATCATGCTGGTGACCCCACTGAGCGGCTGCCATTGTATGGGGATCCTGTATGGCGGGACCTGTTCAAAACCAGGTCATCATCCCATCGTTTTCTCCCCTACGGTTTCAGCTGTTCTATAGGTGCTTACTAATCGCAAACTATTCTCCTAAACTACCCTGACACTTCTTCTACTATCATCTCTCTCGCTGAATACGCTCCTCTTCCCCTTCCCCTTACAACCCCATTCCAACCCCACATCGGTGCTGCCAGGGAGAGGTCGTGAGACATAGCGACCGCAGTGGTCGGATTCGGAAGCTCTGCTTCCCCAACAGCTTGCCACTCCTTCCCTCCTCACTTCGATCTGCATCAAAGAGCATGGAATCTTACCTCCATCTCGCTGTCCGGGTCCTCCGAGGGCTTCTGACTCCTTCTTGCTCCTCGTCGCTGCCCTCTGCCGTTCTCCTCCTCCCTCGAAGGCTTTCCTCGTTCCTCAAGACGTTACCGGAACATCAAACAATGGACCCCCACCCTTCTTCCCGGAATTAGCTCACCCCTACCCCCTCTTTTTGATGACCATACCAGTGCTACCCCTTCGTTTGATTCACAAAGTACCCACCTTACATAGATCAAATGCCCTACTGCACACCCCACCCATTCAGCTTGTCAACTGTGGACCCCTTCTTATACCCGGCTTTTCTCCGACACAGAGCAGAGACCCCTGAACTTTTGACTACCCGTATAAATTCCAGTTAAGTGTACCGGTAGTCATTTGACCCACCCCCGCACTTGCCGGATCCGGGATCTCGGAGTGATCGGAATTTGACAAGGGGGTGGGTCATGGATTCGACCGAGTAGGGTGATACACCCTACCATATTCTTTATAACAATTTTCCTCACTGATACGTCGTAGGGGTACTAACCCTACCCACCCTGAACGATAAGTCCCATCATAAATGTTGACCATGAGAGGAGGAGGAGGAGGAGGAGGAGGAGGAGGAGGAGGAGGAGGAGGAGGAGGAGGAGGAGGAGGAGGAGGAGGAGCACGAGTGGAAGGCAGCAAAAGGCAGAGAAAAAGGAAGCGCAGAGGAGAATTTCGTCACGAGTGCCTCAACCAGGAGGTAGGGAGGAAGAAGAATCTGGAACAAAGACAGTGATCCTAAATGAGTTCCTTGGGAAGAGAACGTTCAAGGGCCATCACAACAGGGAGAGTGGAGGGGATGTAACAAAATGTTACACGCTGGTGGACAGAGATGCATGGATACGAGAAGGCTACGAATAAGGAGAAAGATTGGGGGTTACAAACTTTCGTTTTTTTCTCGGTTCTCATGATGAGTTAGGAATAGCCATTTTGCAGTGATTCGGGGAGATAGAGATCGCTATGAAGAAAAGGGCGGAGAGAGAAAAAAATGCGACGGTGATTAAGGGCTCGAGAGAGGAATAAAATCGAAGCAACGATCTAGCCCAACAAGGAAATCTCCTTCACCAGATGCTCTTCTTTGAAGACATGATTCCTGTGTTGAGATCAGATTGAGATGAGGATCGATGAGTGCTGCACCATCCATGTTCTTGAACCATGGCATGAGGTCGGTCCTCGACAGCCAACTCTCCATCGTCTTCACCTCGATATGCTGCGAGCCCAAAGGATCACTCGTGAACAAGCTGCGGAGGATCGCCTCACCCTTGCTTGCTCTACGAGGCCCCACACCATGACATCAACAGGGCCAGGCTGACTTCCTCCGATGAACGTGCCAGCCATCTCCGACCTGATCTTCTTCCCGTACTCGTCCAACGATTTCAACCCTGGGTTCGATTTCCTGCAATGGCGAGGAAGAGTCTCAGTGAACAGACCACACTGCGGCAATTCTAAGAAGCCTCTCACTTGATCTTTGCAGGTGCTTTGCTCAGCATGTGTCGTATCAGGGGCACAATGAAGCATGTGAAGCAACAGTTGCCTTTGAGGAAAGTGGCGATGAATCTGCTCCTGGATTCCTCGTTCCCGAAGATCTCGGCCTCGTAGGCGAGCAGCAGCCCATACGTCACCTCATGGACCTGTCTCGACTCACTCTCGCTCAGCTGTCTCCCGAAGATGATACGAGAAAGCTCTTTGAAGATGATATACGAGTCGTTGATCTGACAGCCGTCATGTCGTTAGGGAAACGCTCTCGTGGATCGAAGATACCTGAAGACCGTTGACAGTGACGATGGGAACTTTCTTATACTTAGACCACTTGATTTCCTTCTTGCCGGGCATGGAGACTAAGATGCTCTGATGCGCAATGCCAGCATACGCCAGGAAGGACCTGACCATGACGCAAGGCGGACTGGCTTCCATCTCATACAGCTTAACCTGCACAAAGCTTCATCTCCTGCAATTAAGACTTGAAGTGTAACAGAAGCAAGAGAATTTCGATCAAAAGAAGGCATGCACGCATCATGCTTTGCACGCTCTCCCCCAGTCACTCCCTCTGTCAGCAAATGTAATCATCCCAACCACATCGAGAACGCATCATTGCGGACGAGACTTCTGACAGCGAGCGAGCAAGCATACAAGCAAAGAGAGGGGGCTACCTCCTTGATCTCGCTCACGCCAGAGATGGGGAGCGGGGCCGCAAGCTCCTTCCCCTCCTCGTTGGGCACCCACGCCATGGTTCCCCTTTTACGTGCAACCTTCGTAGCCCCCGACACTATAAGCTACCCACCCCTCACTTTTGCCTTTGGACACTCTCATACCACCCCTCCTATCGCATAATATTCGCTGCTAACTTTCCCCGGATTTCATTGCGGCTCTCAGCGGACTCTGAGTACCCCACACTTTGTTCATGCGTGTACCCCCCAGAGGACCAGGATATTCTTTGGAGTACCCCCTTTTGGAACCTTGACAGTAGGGGTAGAAGAGAAGTATTTGGATCCTAAAATGCGGGGGTTCGGGGCAGGGTTCGCCGAGTCGGGGGTGGGGTTGAAAAAGTAGCTGGAGAAATGTGGAGACATTTCAACGAGGAGAGAGGAGAGAGGAGAGAGGAGCGAGAAGAGAAGATAGAAGATAGAGGATCGTGACCATTAGCAAGAGAAGAGACAAGTCAGCGATTAGGATCAGATATTAGATCGATGAAGAAACAATGAGGTATCTTGGTGATTACCTCGCCTTCACATCAAGTGCCTGCTTCAGCTGCGGACAGAATCAAGCGCAAGCTGTTCGACGATCGAGAGTTTTTCCTGAAGAAACACAGCAGGCAAGTCAGTCGCAACAGCCCCTTGACGACTTCGCCCCCTCTGCACCACCCCTAGAAGAGCTGCTTGATGACGAACGAGGTGATTCAGTCAAACAAGAGCACGGCTCAAGTCACCGTGGATCCAACACAGAGGAGGCAGCAAGTGGAAACAACCAAGGAGAATGCGTCATCTGCCTCGAGGCTCCATCCAAGTTCGCCCTGATGCCTTGCGGTCACCTGTGTCTGTGCGGGAACTGCGTTGGTACGGTCACCCGTTGCCCTCTATGCAGGAAGGAGCTACAGGGGTTTCTTGCTGTGTATACTTAGAACGCAACTCAGGACTGGCAGACATGCAGTCCTCGAGGACGTGTCTCATTGACGAATGCCATGACTGACTTGATATTTCTATTCGACAGCGCTCAGTGGACATCGGTTGGACGTCATAGCACAGATGTGTTTAGACTTTGATCAAGAGGTTTGCATCCAATCGAAAGCAACAAGGAATGAGAGCTGCTCTTGTATAGTAAAGTTTGAAAATGAAGTCTTGTTCTGCGACGCGAGGTCATGCATGTTATAGTTACGGGGTTATGAAGCTGCTGAAGGAGCCTTGACGCACTGGGAAAGAGCAGAGCAACAAAATCTCTGTGAGCGATGAGGATAGACAACTGAGTCAGTTGGACGACATCTCTCGAATGCTAGAAGCTGTTTGTGTGACAGCGTAAACATCGTCCTATCCTTGTCTTGTATACTCACACAATTCAAGTCAGACAAGTTTTCATTTTCATCTTAATACACAAAACCAACATCGTCATCTCATGATCTTCCTACTGTCCCCATCCACATGTTTCAAGTTCCATTCAATCTTAGGACACATTCTGTCCAAGTGAGCCTCAGCAAAAGTTTGGTCCCCAATCAGCTCCGAACGCAGACATGGTCCTGGGGTAACGATTGGCTATGATCTCGTTCTTGATCAGCTCCTTTATCCCCTGGGTTGAGGTGACGTCACGAGAGGATCGAGATGTCAGACAGCGGCGTACCTGGCGATTGATCTCCCTCTCCCCCTCGGGCGATTTCCGCTCGTAGCTGTTCCTCCTGTAGTCCATCGGGTGTGAGGACACGGGCGATCTGCTTGATCCCCTGGCGGCGCTCACGCCGTCGGAGGAGGAGGATGTCCTGGCCCGGTAGTCCCACTTGTCCTTCAACCCCTCGTACTTTCTCCTCCTCAAGTCCTCCTCCCAGTACTTCTCGACCTCCTTCCCGTAGTAGGGAGTCTCTGCCAGCCCCACGGCAGCTTCACCTGCTGTCCTCCCCTCAATCACTCTCCATTCTCCCGCCATCGACAGGTTCGCTCTGTCCTCCTACATCACAGTCGTCATTCGGACTGTGAAGGTCAGGGCAGGCCTCTCATCACCTTGGCGTCAAGTACGGCTGAGTCGTTGATCTCGCTCACTATCAACTGTCCTGTTGCCTTCATGATGTCACGACGGACATGGTCGTCTGCTCGTTCCTGTTGCAACGTTGATGTTGTCAGGAGAGTCGGGAGGATGAGGAGAGTGAGGAGAGTAGGGACAGATGATTGAGGCGGGAGATGATGAGTCGAGGAGGAGGAGGAGGAGGAGGAGGAGGAGGAGGAGGAGGAGGAGGAGGAGGAGGAGGAGGAGGAGGAGGAGGAGGAGGAGGAGGAGGAGGAGGAGGAGGAGGAGGAGAAAGTTGAGAGGCGAAGAGGGAGGAGGGAGGAGGGAGAAGGAGGGAGGAGGAGGAGGAGGAGAAAGTTGAGAGGTGAAGAGGGAGGAGGGAGGAGGGAGACGGAGGGTTCGGAGGTTCGGGTTGTTCTCACTGGCACTTGCTGTCTTGCGCGAGAGCTGGCAGGTTCGATCTCTTCCTCCATGGCAAGACGATGAGGCCCCGACGCCCCAGCTACTCTCGACGGATCCTGCGCAACCTTCGCACGGCTGCCCCGTCCCTCGGCGTCTCCACCGTTCATAGCGCCATCCCGCGGCATGTCGTCGACCACCTGAACCTTGCTCCTGGAGCTTGCCTTGCTCGTCGTGGAGGCCCGGGACATCGGGGGAGCAGCGCTGAGCTTCTCCTCATCCGCCTCCCTGGCGAGCTGACTCGTCGCCTCCAGCACTTGCATGTTCGACTCTGTGACCTCGTTCGAGTGCGACATGATGATGCTGCGGATCAGCCTCGAGTCACTGGGGTTCAGCTGGGGTGGTACAAAGCTGCGCGTCAGCCCCTGCTGGGGCTGCAGCGAGTTGACTTGGCGCCAGGTGGAGGCCTGGTCGAGTGAATCTCTGAACTCTCTGCTCTCCCTCCCGTCCAAGGAGGATGGGACGCACGACAGCGCCGGCTCTCTCTTCGCGCGAGGCACAAACGGCTGTGAGGAGGGGAGGCGGGTGACCTGCTGGTGGGTCTGGGCCTTTGGACGGAAGAAGATGGCGAGGAAAGGAGCGCAGGAGAAGAACCTGGACAGCAGAGAGCCGCGCTGCTCACGGGGGATTTCTTGGCTACTTCGCATGTAGTATGCGCTGCTCGAGCTGATGTGCGAGGGAGGCCTGACTGCATCGCTCATGGTGTGACTCCCCTCGTCTTCCGGCTTGTATGGTCCGTAGGAGGAAAGCCTGGAAGACATGTACGAGCTGTTCGAAGACTCGCTCCTCTTCAAGCTGCGGAGAGAGGGAGGGCCCTTGCGCTGCAGCTTGTGGTCGTTTGAAAACATGGTCATGACGTCGCTCATGCTCGGGACCATCGAGAACGATCCCGTCCCTGCGCTCTTGCCGTGAGAGGCCGAGGCCACCTGAGAGTGGGCGGAATGGTTCGAGGCCGAGCTATTGCTCCTCAGGTAGTTCGCCCCCCCTACCTCAACCTGGTTGCTGCCGTCTGCCATGACTGCATACAGCTCTGCCTGATTCGCCACAGACAGCTGGGATGGAGTTGAGGGCCTGGAGCCGTCGATCGAGTTGCCTGTCATGATCGTCGGCAACAATTTCAACGGGGCATGAGCTACCTCTAGGCATGGGCAGCGGTTTGAAAGGAGGCGGGCTGATGAGAGCCTTGGTCTGATCTTGCGACAGCTTGAAACCTGACACAAGCAGTCAGCGAGGGAGGATCAAGACTACATGAGGGGAGCACCGAAAGGAGCACGTCTTCCATCCTTGTCTTCCCCCAACTTCTCGATCTCGATGATTTGCTGCTGCATATCCGAAAGCTTCTGTGATATCGTTTCCATCTCCTCGGGGTCGATGCCTCGAAAAGGCTCGAACACGCTGTTTTGCCGGGACTTGTCAGCTTGCCCAGTGACAGAGGGAGGCTTGCGAGGCAGAGGCGGTTTCGAGCTCGAGAATGCCGTGAAGACAGGCTGGGCGGCGGATTCACCTCCCAGCCTCTGAAGTGGCGAGGAAGAGATCATAACTCCGTCCTCGCTGTAATATCCAGCATCCTGCGACAAGTTTCCGTTCCTATTGACTCCCTCAGTCTTCTCATCCTCCCCTCGCTCGTCTCGACTCGACGCGGCGTCGCTCGTCCTCGCATTCTCAAACAGCCTCTTCTCCAGCGAGCTCCCGTCTTGCTGCCCTCCCACCACCTTCCTGTCATTCACAACGTCTGCCTGCACCTTTAACTTCTCCACTGGCGTCGATGAGGTGATCTCAGTCTTGCGCTGTTTCTCGGAGGAACTCGCACTGGTCGTCCGTTTCGGCCGGGAGGACTGGCCGGACTTTGCTGTTCCCTTCTTCATCTCCAGAAATTTCTCGATCACCTTCCGCTCCTCCGGCCTGCAACAGAGAAGGTCATGGATGAGCCATGTGAGCATGGAGGTTTGGATTGAACCTCAGCATGTCAAGGGCAGTCATGCGATCGCTCTCATCCATTTCGAGCATGATGGCCTGACATACGGTAATCACCACAACCGACAACTCGAGGATTGAGTGTAGAGCTACCGCTCGCTGGGAAGGAGGTACTCCAAGAAAGCACTTCCACTTGATGTTCTGATCCAAAGACTCGAGGAACTCCAGGGCTTCAACAGGCTTCTACATGAGGTGCAGGCGTCAAGGCCATCTCGAACCCCCGCATCCTTCATCACTGCTCACCTTGCTTTGCAACTGCCGTACTTTCTGCTTCACATCCAGCACACTCGCCGTGCTCTACCTCGCAGTCAGCACAGCGCACTACCTCAGCTGCTCACCTTCTCCCCGACGTTCTTCATTACTGCAGGGCTGGTGGTCACATTCATGGGGATGGGGCTGACGTTGGGGTCGGCAAACCGAGGCGACCGCATGTGGAAACCTGCCCATCTCAACAGTGAGACGTCAGGAGCAGTGCGCATGTTGCCAACTTCGCTGATCCAAGGACGGAGACTCATGCATGCTTCCGTGCGACGGATCGGGATGTGCCTGCTTCCACAGTGTCTCAGAGACGGTAAATGTTGCATTCGCTGCAGACCTTGGAGTTGCCGTTGGACCTTTGAGGCCTGCTGACGTTTCCAGGGAACGAGGATGTCAGCACGTTTCGAACATCGACAGCAACACGGCGGTACCTCATAGTAGCCAACTCCGACAGCATCCTTTCATTCTGCTCCTTCAGCCTTTGAGCAGACCGCCCAGAGTTTGCAGACATCGTGGAAGTGACAATGATGTGTTCCCTCAATCACTACATTCGAACTTCGCCGATGGCACTTGAGTGGTCATCAGAGGCTTTCGATGGCATCTTCTACACAAACCAGCCAACTGTTGTCACTCTCTCAACTATCTTATACGAGGCTAATCAAAGTACTGTTTTGCTCACTATGAGTTTCACCTTCGGATCTGTAGTGGCCAAATTCAAATCCAGTGATCGTTGCTTTTCTCCTCTCCTCGGGTTGTGATGCCGTCTGACGCACCTCACATGCACTGATCGTCCACCATCGTCTCGTCCATCTTATGCATCTCCTCTAATCCTTCAGCTCCTCCTCCTCTTCCTGCAGTCTTTTCTCCTCCCTCCTCTTGTCTCGCCCTCACCAGCCAGCATCGGCCGGGCCTCTTTCCAGTATCTACCCCGGGACTCTTTTATGACCCACCCCTCCCACTCTACACTGTCAGTGACGGTGTGGACCAGCCTTGTGGGTTACCGTACCCCACCCTCCGGGAGTCCATACAGCCTAGTACGGTACGGTACGAGCGGTCACCGGGCCCGGGGTACGGACGGGGCCTCTTGAATGACCCCACCCCTACCCCCCTAGCAGTTGACCCCACCCCTACCCCCCTACCCCCCTAGGAGGTCCCCCTACGTCGGGTACCCGGACATTGGGCCACGGCGCGTGTTGAGATATCCCGGCGAAACTCACTCTTTATTGACTGAAACTAGTCCGTTGAACCGTTACACCGCAGACTGAACCATAACCGTTTTTCGGAGAGCGACTGCCGGTAACAGTCACCGCCGGGCCGGGCCCGGGGGCCCGGGGGCCGAGAATATGCCATGATGATACCACCCGTGTGAATGATGGAATTACCACCCCTTCAACCCCTCTCTAAAGGTACTGCCGTACCCTACCCTTACGTCCTCCCACTGACATGTATGCGTGCAGTACCCCCCACTTTCAACACTACCCAACCCTTGCAATTTTGGCCACCCCTACCTAGACAAAATCCCTCCCCACCCTTTTTGTCCACCAATGCGCTGGGGTTATCACCCCTACCCGCTTGTAGATGAAGAAACTGATATGGATCATCTACACTTCCAAGTACCCTTTCAAAATGTACCCACCCTAAAATCATCCTACCCCACTATTTCACACCCCCACCTACTCATTTACCGAACCACTCGTCAATCTCCCGTTCTTGGATAGTCCCTCAAGAAGACAACGATTCACAATGAACCCCCTTCACTGAGCTGCCACCCCAACCACCCTTACCCTTATGTGACCCCCCGTTTCAGTACGCCTCCTCTCAATCACCCCCCATTTCATCATCATAGTACCCACCCTTCCACACATCCATAGTACAATGTCAAGAAGGGACCCCCCGATTTCATAGATCCCGGCCTCCCGCCCGTCATGGCAACCGCGGCGTGCAGAGGATGATGCTTTTTCGCTCTCTTCCTCCTCCCCCCGTCCTCCACCTCTACCCTGTGGGCAGTGAGGAAGTGTAGAATAGAGATGCAGAGCTATTTTTCATTTCTACATCAGCTTTCCGCCTGTTGATGTTCCACTTCGTGTCGACATGTGTCTTCTTCGTGAAAGTGCCCGATCCTGTATCAGAATATGGATGCTATCCTCAATGTCTGCCCCGTTAATCAGGAATATTCCTAGAACTTTGCAATATGTAAGCGTAGATGTTGCATGTCTTGAATGTTTCATAGTCTGCCTCCCTTTCCTTTCTTCCCCCTTCACAGGTTGGCAGCGATTAGTATCTAGTCAGATTCAACAAGGGATTAGCATCGAATTCATTGCAGATCGACACAAGTCAACTCGTATGCTTTTCTCTAGGATCATATCCTCCCCGCGAACTATGTCCCCTTCGTGAATCATCGTCAATACCATGCAGTCACTGTGTGATGAATTTACTTGTCAGGCAAAAGACTGGCATGGCGCAGAAAGTCAGCATCCCCCTCCTCTTGTTCTATCTGGTAATTGTTTTGCTTGGGATTTTCGCCCATACATGATACGTGAATCTGCAGACAGCTTGGTATGTTCTGAATGTTCAATACAATCTCTACAACAAGAAGATTCTCAACGCCTATGACTTTCCATACACAACAGCACTGATTCAGGTATATTTTATCAACACACACCTCTTGCAAAGATGTAACTGTGATTGACAGTTGGGCTCGGGATTGCTGTACATCATTCCCAAGTATGCCCTGGGCTTTGCCAAGTGGCCATCGTTCTCCTCTTCGAACATCTCCCTGCTCTCCTTCTTCCATGGAGGAGGGCACTATGCCACTGTCATGTCTCTTGGTATAGTAACCGTTGGGACATTTTGCCATCTAACGTCTGTGCCTCGTCTCAAACCACAGGTGCTGGCTCAGTCGCCTTTGCTAATGTCGTGAAGGCCGGAGAGCCGCTGTGCTCTGTGTTGATGGGATTCCTGTTCAACGGAGCTATTCCTGCTCTTATGGAGCTCATCGCCCTGCTTCCCATCATTGCCGGAGTGATGATTGCATCCATGGCTGAGGTAGGTCTTGTTTGTATCTACTTGAACCCCGATCACACACCCTTGGGCGATCCGCGTTGAGTTCTATCATGCTGATTGTAAGCTGTTCGGTGGAAGAGTCCATGTCTTGTTGTGATTGTGACGGAATCTGCGTGTGTTGTTTACTCTGAATCTATTCCTGCAGCCGGAGTTCAGCATGTTTGCGTTTGGATGTGCCATGTTGTCCAACTTCCTCTTCGCTGCTCGTGGAACTTACGCGAAGATTTGCATGGAGAGTAAGTTGATTTCTTCCCTGGCTTTCTCCTGTCGAGTTTCTCGCTCCCTGGCTCTCTACGTTCTACATGTTCCTGCTGTAACTGTTTGCTCTCTTGCAGAGGGCCCTAAGATGAGCGGAGCTGATTTGTTCGCCATGAACACCATCTTTGCTTTCGTCCTGATGGTGCTGATGGAATTTCGTAACGATTTCACCTCACAGCCTTCTGCCAGGCACCCATCACCTTCGTCATGGAGGGACAGTCCGCCATCACTGGCTTCGAGCAGCTTACCACCGGCAAGGCTCCCTTGGACTACATGGCCTTGATCAATGGAGGTGAAGAGCGGAGATTCGGTTGAGGTATCGAGCTCCTGACGCCTCCTGCGACCGTCAGAGCTTGATGTCAAGAAGGGGAAGCCTTCTCCCTCGTACTTCATCGCCTACCAGGTGCTTCCTCACCCGCCACTGCTGGGAACGTGTAAGGGCTCACGTTGCATGCTCCAGCTCGTCTGCGGTCTCTATTATTACTTTTACAACGAGATGGCGTTCATGGTCTTGGACCTCCTTGATCCCGTCGGTCAGGTAAGAGCATCTCCTCTCTCCTCCTCTCTCCTCCTTCCAATCCTCTCTCCTCCCTCTAATCCCCTCTACTCCCTCCCTCCTACACCCTGCTCTTCATCCCCTTGATCCTAGTGCTTCTCCGTGTTGACTGGTCCCGCAGGCTGTTGGAAACACGGTGAAGAGGGTTGTCATCATCGTCGCCGGAACTATTGTCTTCAACAAGCCCCTCACCACCAATGGTTCGCCTCTACCCCATAACTCCCCACCCCCCTCTTTGCCTCTCTCCCTCTCCCACTGTTTCTGCCTTGTCCTTCCACTTCTCCCCCACCACTGAGCCTCTCCAACCCTTATATTCCTCGTGCAGGCATCATCGGATCTTCCGTCGCCATTGGAGGCGTCCTCCTCTATTCTCTCGTCAAGGTCTGTCGGTATCGCATCACTCTTCAAGATTCGCTGACTCGTGAGCAGTCTGGAGCCCTCAGCTCCAAGAAGAAGCAGAGTTGAATTCTCTCTCTCCCTCAGTCTACAAGTAAACACAACTTACCCTCTGAGCCTTATCCTGCTGACCTCGCCTTCCTCCTCCTCCTCCTCCTCCTCCTCCTCCTCCTCCTCCTCCTCCTCCTCCTCCTCTCGCAAGTCTAGTTGCTCCTTCTCCTTCTCCTCGTCGATCAAAAAGTCATTGCTGGGCATTTCGCTTTCCCGTTTCCAGAGAGCGCAGGTTGTTTGTGGTGCCTTGAGATCGAAACCGATTCAAACCAATCGAATCCTTTGTTTTCAAGGTGTTGGAATCGATTTAATCGCAAGGAATCATTGCTACCTTGGAATTGAATCGGTTGAATCGATAGTGGATGCGACCATGGCGGGATTTTACTGTACGGAGCATGGCCAGAGGAGCATAGAGGAAGGGGAAGAGGAAGGAAGAGAGGCTTTGATAGAGAAAGATGTAGGAGAGGAAGGAAGTGGAAGAGGAGCAGGAAGGAGTAGAAGGAAGAAGATGAGGAAGGGGATCGTGATAGTGGTGGTGTAGGTGCATGGGAGGAGATAGAGGTGTAGGAGACTATCAAAACAGGAGGAGGAGCAACGAGAGTTGTCCTGGAGAAGCTGCAGGGGAGGAAAACTTGGGATAAGAGGGTGAGCGATACCCTGAAACCATCGAGCTATGCTTCCGAGGAGCCTGAGGCCTGCTATACTGACCCGTTGCTTCTAGCGCAACATGAAATGAGAACAGAGGATGACGTACGCGCTTGCACTGAATCGACACGCGCCATGGAGAATTTCATTCATCTTGTTCTTTCAAATCATTACATGCGAGGTTGCTCTGCTTGATCGGGACGGAAATCTCGGTGTGAAGGCGTCGACCGAAGGGTGTAACCTCCGGATCCTGCAGCGCCTTCGAGGAGGCGTCGATGACGATGAAGACGGTCAGGACGGTCATTGAGGAGCGTGACAGTCTTGCTGACATGGCCGCAGGGATCGACAACTTGATCCAAGATGCATACGCGTTCAACAAACAGCCCTCAGTGCCCGTGGTGACGGATGTATGCGGTGGGGGAGTGGGAGGCTGACGTGTGGGACAGACCCCCGGTCCCTGGAAGCGACAGTTGAGCTCTGATGCACCCAGAGACTTCAGGGAGAGCACGATCAAACGCCCGAGATTCGCCAGCCATCTGAGGAACTCGACCCTTGCGCTCAGAAATGGCGCAAGGAGTGGGAGAGGTCGGAATGTAACGCTGTACAGCAACCTCAACGCTAAGTACCAAGTACGGACGAGTGGAAGGTGGAGCTCTCGTGATATGATGTCTTGACTGACTTTCTGACTCTCTGCTTGTTCGTTGAAGGACTGTCAACTCGACGGCTCTGAAACCGACAAGACCTGTCTTCAACAACAGGCCTGACAACTTCACAGGTTTGTTGTGTCAAATCAGAGATCCTAGGACGACCGAAGATAGAGACGGGGTTGAGAGAACACGAGGGATGGTGATGATGACGATGGAAAGGAAGATGATAAAGAAGATGATGGATATGATGATCCTGATGGAGAGAATCATGGATACTAGTCAAAGATTTTGAAACTGATTTTTTCATGTTTTGCAGCGGTCAAAGGCAACTTCAACAGTTACTACGGCTATCGGAAAGCAAGTGCAATGAATTCGTCGATCGGGAAGGTCTGGATCTGATGTTGTTGTATCAGTCGACATACAAACACAGAAGTTGAAATACACACGAAGAAGTTGATTTGCTCGGAGTGCACTGATGCCGCCGATGCAGGTCTTGAAACCCGGAGTCTGGGGCGATCCTCGTTTGGACCTGCTGAAGGCGGTCAGTACTGGAGGAGGAGGAGGCGGAGGAGCAGGAGCAGGAGCAGGAGCAGGAGGAGCAGGAGGAGCAGGAGGAGGAGGAGGACAAAGAGTGGGAGAAGGGCAGGGAGGGAGGGAGAGGGCAGGGGGGTAGAACGATGTTGACGAATGGGGGCATGACAATATTCCTGGTCTTTCAGGAGTTTTTCAAGGGGAAGACATGTTTGGACATAGGTGAGAAGCGTTCTCGTTGTGCAGTGATCGCTCACTCGGTCTTGAGGCTGCAATGCTGGATATCTGACCATGAGCATCGCATACCTGTTCGAGGTGAGGGAGAGGAGAGGCGGTAGATGATGTGTCAGGATAGAGAGAGGGGGGGGTTGGAAGAGAGGGGAGGGATGGATGGATGGATGGATGGATGGAG